ATTAAGGATCTGAAATATTAATTCATCTCTTCCTGACCTATAGATGAATTGTGCTTCAGTTTTTTTAATCTAAAGCCATCTTTCTGCTTGTCAAGTAAGAATACCACCTGATGTATGAGGTGCATCTCATTAGACCATGAGATTTCTGTGAGAGAACAGACACCTTATGAAGGGGAAACTCCTCTCACCTTTTGCTTTGCTGCTGCCTTGTCTTTAAGCTGCTGCCCTAAACTGACAGCTATGCAGAGCTGTATAGCTTCTTAAGCTTAGCAAGTTATAAATGGTCTTCCTCATAACGACCTTGGGAGGTGAATATTGTGTTTCCCAGGCATACATGGAGAAGGTGGGGAGTGTTGAGCTTTGGGTCTTGTAGTGACGTATTTCCAGGGAACATTGTGCAGCCTCAAGCAAATCAAGAAGATACATGTTTACATGAAGGATGCTGCTACTTCTATTGCAAGTATAATTCTGGAAGTGTAATGAGAATGAGAAGTGGAGGACTTCCTGCATTAGTTTTGTGGCTGTGTGATGGGGGTCTCTAAATTGCAGCTGTGCTGCACAACTGATAAAAGTTATGTTAGGCTTGGATAAGTCTCTTGATGTGAACTAATATACCTCTTTGTGCTGCGTGCATGATGGTTAAATTTTTATTAACCTGAAAGTCAGAACAACAGTAATAATGACTGAGTATGCTACTTGTCTCTGTATTTTGCCTTAAGTCTAGAAGTTTCCCATGAAATATACTAGTGCTAGACTATGTCCTTAAAATATGATTCACCCCTTTGGGAAAAGCTTTCACAGTAAACTAAGTTCATAGCATGTGAGTAAAGGGTCTGTGTAAGGTGGGAGAAAGAAAAGGGCAATGGGGTGGCCTTTAACATAGTGGTGATACATCCCCCTTACAGGTCTCTAGGCAAGAAGGGGAGAAATACTAAATGGGAAAGGATTAATTTTATTTGGGAAAAGCTCAGGATATATGTGGTGTGCTAGAGGGAGGATAGTTACTTAAATTCCTTTCTGAAACATCCAAACTACTTTCATCTGATTTCTAGATTTTGGATTGTACTTAATGCTGTGCTGGATGAGACTACCTGATTAATGATTGTATTTGACTCCTGCACTATGGGTTTATAAACTGAATCAATGAAATGTTACTAAACGTATTTTATTGTCTTTTTGGTGATGACTATTAAAGTGTTAATCATGTTTATCTGTTCAATATTTTGTTTTACAGTATCTTTACAGTGGCTTTAGTGAGCATTTTTCTGTTTATTCAACTTACAGTGTTTGTTTCTTTTTCAACTTGTAAGTTTGCCTATATCACTTTTTTTATTAAGGTCTGGGACCTTGATGAACTTTTACTATAGGGTTGAAGGGTGATTTTGAGGCCAATATGTGAGACATTTATATAAGGTGTAAGGAGAAATGAAGACTATTTCTCTTCTGCCTTTGAGCTCTGTGCTTTTGTGGGGGTGTGCTTTTGTACCCTGTAAATAGCAGAGGAAGTGCTATGGAAAGTGCAGGTTTTGGAAAGTGCTTTTTTATATCTGTGGATGGAGAAGTATTACTGTGCTGATCAGCTGGTTAGTGAGAGAGCTTTTCAGAAACAGTAAAGCATGCCGGATTTAATTAGCTCAGCCTTGCTGTCTGACACTTTTTTTTGAGTGGTCATAATGATCACTCTGAAATAATTTACAGAATCAAATATACTGTAGTCATGTTGGGGGGGGGACGGGGGACGAATGAACCATAGGTGAAAATGGCTTGTTGCTTCTGGGTATTTTTTTATCAGAGAAAAGAATACCTCCTGAAAATCAACTTGATTTTCCTCTCATTGTGCTCTACTGCGCTCTACTGCAGGTGTGGATATCCTGTATTAAACCAGGCAAACAAGAACAGTATGGGTTCCCAGCAACCCAGAGGGTGTGTGTTTGCCTCCGATAACTGCAATATGTTTAACATCACATACTCTAAGGGAATTGAGGACTCCTCTACTTTCAATGCAGAATAAGATGGATTAGATCATTCTCTGTTAAGGATATAATACTGACATTGCCAATTAGCTAGACATAAGAGATTTTATGATGCAATACTGATCTTGTGTGTTAGGTTACTGTAAAAAAAACCCAGAAAAATTTTTAAAAGCAGAGACCAAAGACAAGGATGGCAGTCACACTATAAAAGCTGGTCCATTATGTGACATTAGGATGAAAAGCAGCAGGGAGAAGCCGAGTTTCCAGAGTCCAGCTGCTTCCCTGTGTGCAATGCTGTAGATAATGCAGGAAATAATTAATATAAATGTGCATTCAAAAGAATGCTTAAGCTTTCCAAGTGCATAAAAAGGCTGGACATTTTAAGTTTTTCATATTCATTGCAGGCCACATATGTTTACCTCTTTTTGTGTGTGTTGATGTCTTTCTCAACAGTTTTACCCAGAGAACCGAAACATAGATTTTCTTTTCTTTAAGAGGCTCATTCAGGAGTTGACCCTTCCCCACAGGCTGTATCAGGTGGTAAAATTAAGTTTGCTATCAGTTCTTCTTTGGCTGGCTCTAAGGTTTTAGTTATTTTAATTGTGTAGGTGTGAAAGTTCAAAACATGGACTCGTCTGCCTGTTCAACTGCATGTGTTATAATTCTTCTCTAGCACTGGGCGAGGACAACATTCCAGAATGTCAGTCTTCTCAGGCTTCATAAAAAAGATCTCAAAGGTCAGATAGAGTGAGCATGCTAATTAAGGAGAAAAATGTTTTCTTTCTGTACATTCATATATCAGTAGTAAATTCAGAAATACTTTCCATTACTTTCATTATAATTTCTATTTATTAAATCAATATTACTTTCCAAGGAAGTGACTGAAACTACCATTTAGTATTTTCTCCAGATAGTTTTCTTTAGGAAGCTTGTTTTGATTGGCTATTTCAAATTATAGTGGGCAAATTTTGTCACAGTATTACAAACAAGGGTTTGTTTTTTTTTCAACTGCTTAACCTCCTTTGCTGGAATGGTGTTTGGTTCACGTCTTCCTCCTTTTTTATAGTTGAGAGCTGCAGACGCTGTAAGCATAACTGCACTTTGCATGACATCTCAGGCAAGGAGTATCAGTCAGGATACTGGCAACAGAATTAGTTGATGTCTTCGGTTACTGAATATACAAAACTGATGTAACACATAGAAAGACTCGTCAGTGAGGCTCATGTAATCTGTCATTGCAGTCGACACTTCTAACCTGACTTCCTTTTAAACATACAGAAGAGGCCTACATGGATTAAAGGTCACGGTATGTGTATTGCTGCCAGTCTGCATCATTATGGCAAATTGATACATTTTGTTCTGTGCCCTCAATCTGTATGGGTTGTAATTTCTATGAAAGGTAGAGGTGAATAAATTTGTTTCGTTTTATTATTGTAAGGTGAAACAGGCATGAATTTCTTGTGGTTCTGAGCTTTCTGCCCAGTTCTCGTAGTCTGGATGAATTATCTGCCCGGCACACTCTTGTAATCGTATCATTTGCATGTAGTTCTCTGTATAGCCTGGCAGCCTGAGTCCAGCCTTACGTTTATGAAGTTTTGCTGTTTTAACTATTCATGATGGAGAGGATGTGCTGAAAAGTGGATTTAGAATATGCTTCTGTTGACAGACAGGTCTCTCCTGTAGTTCCTTGGAGGGATCTTTGGAATTGAATTAATTTTTATTCTGTAGGATGATCAATCTAATTGAAGTTGTGGATTTAAAAAATTATATGTCAGTTCCTGCTAGCCCTTTCATGCGATGGATGCTTTTCTTACACTTGCAGACT